TAAAAAATAAATTAAAGGGCTTCCCTGGTGGTGCAGTGGTTGAGGGTGCGCCTGCCGATGCAGGGGACACGGGTTCGTGCCCCGGTCCGGGAAGATCCCACATGCCGCGGAGCGGCTGGGCCCGTGAGCCATGGCCGCTGAGCCTGCGCGTCCGGAGCCTGTGCTCCGCAACGGGAGAGGCCACAGCAGTGAGAGGCCCGTGTACCGCAAATAAATAAATAAGTTAAAAAACCCCAAAACGACAGAGCAGTCAGGCAATCACGTGGCAGTGGGGACCAGCCAGTTCCTCAAACTGAGCCCCCGGGAACCCTTGCTTCACAGAAAACAACCCCTCTTCGTCCTTCCCCTCTAACCCAAGTCCTCCTCCAGCATCTGCCTTCACTGTCTAGCCCCTGGGCCACTGCTCCCATGCAGGTTTCCTCGCTGCAGGTAACTCACCTCCTTCGTGCCTCATAACCCCAGTCTTCCTACTCCTCCTGGCACTCCCAAACCAGCTGGCATGAAATCCCCTCTCCTTGGGGTTCTGCCATACAACCACATCGCCCTCTACCCCTGCTTAGGGCTAACTTGTGTTACCCTCCGGGCTGCCTTCTTCCAGGTACTGTCACTAGCCCGGGGGCTCCAGTGCCTACAGGGCTGACCCTCCCAATATCTTAGCCTCTCAGGTCCTAGACGGCTATGTTTCCCAGGACCTTCACCTTCTCCCACCTGAGCCACCCATTCCCATAGCCACACTGCAGACCTCCCGTCACGTAGCCTTAGCTGCTCTCCACGATGAGCACCCTGAATCCCCGTTACACGTTCTAAACCCAGCCCATCTTCAGTTCTCCCTCCCTCCTCTCCCCTACCTGCCCCTCACCTCCGCGAGATCTGCAAGCATTTAGTAGACTCCCGCCAGGCTTCACAGCTCTTCACGCAAGCTTTCCTCCCTCTCACGGTATCCTTCACCTCCTTGCCCCTCTGTAATCTTATTCAACCCCCCAAATCCCCAGTTCTGAAGGAATCCAAGTGTCTGCTCCCCTGTGCCCACCTCCCCGTGGCTGAGAGTTTCTGGGGGAACATCCCACAATCTCTGGCTGGCAGCATATAACCCCATGGATGCAACTCAGCTGGGTCCTCAATGCCGCAGGAATTCTGCCCCCAAAGTGCCACAGCAGGTCTTTGCAAATCTCTCCAAACTCCAGCCCGCCCCTCCCCTCACACTCTCAGCAGGTGACTTTGCCCCCACTTCTAAGGAGGGGTGGTCTTTCAGCATCCTGCCGGCACACCATCAAATGTTAACCCCCTTCCCACATTCACCCAAAAATTATCTGCATATACCTGGGGGCTCATATCCCCCCATCCCTTCTGGTCCTGAGTGCCTGCCTCAGTGGACCCCTCAGCCTTACTCCCATCCCTCCGGCTGACTGCCCCCTCCTCCCTACTCCATACCTCCCCTTTTTTAATGCCCACATAAAACCACTGTTGGGAAGAAGACTTTTCCTCTTCCAACTTGTGTCCTATGATTGGGGGCCTGCAAATTAACTGAGAAAAGCCAGACCAACAGGAGAAAAGACAAGGTTTATTTTCACACGTGAAAGCAGGAGATCCTAGTAAAGGAAAAACTCACAAAATAGTTCAAACTAAAATATATATATACTTAACAAAAGTGGGAGTTAGTGCTTCAGTGGGGAAGTATGGTGGGAAATTCTACTGGGCTTTTTTTTTTTTTTTTGCTGTGCCAGGCAGCATGCAGGATCTTAATTCCCTGACCAGGGATCGAAACTGTGCCCCTTGCAGTGGAAGCACAGAGTCTTAACCATTGGACCTCCAGGGAATTCCCTCTACTGGGCTTTTTTATTTTATTTTATTATTTTATTTTTTTGCTTTACGTGGGCCTCTCACTGTTGTGGCCTCTCCTATTGCGGAGCACAGGCTCCGGACGCGCAGGCTCAGTGGCCATGGCTCACGGGCCCAGCCGCTCCGCGGCATATGGGATCTTCCCGGACCGGGGCATGAACCCGTGTCGCCTGCATCGGCAGGCGGACTCTCAACCACTGCGCCACCAGGGAAGCCCTCTACTGGGCTTTTTGATGCTATGGGGAATGGGCAGTTGGTCTTCTAGGCAGCTGTATATTCGCAAGAAACTCCCTGGGAGGGGATTCAGCAGCTGTGTTTTGGGGAGGCTCTACTTTAGTCAGATAAGGTTTCTTTCCACATCTTCTGTTGCTCAAATGCTTTCAATTTAAAATAATCTTTATACCAACTCTGGGGATCTGAGAGGGAAGTCATACCGCTCATACAAAGCATCATGGGTATGGTAGATTTTACTGATCATTTTGGCCACCAATGGAGTTTAGATCATAGAAGTACAAACAACCTGAAATTGAACGTTAGAATTTCCTGTTTGTAAAATTCCCTCAGTCTAACTGACTTGTGCCAATTCGAGTACGTCTTCGGGGCGCCACTCTCCCTTGCCCTCTGCTTCGCTTTTTTTCACAGCCCAGCAATGGCAACACTCCTCCCCCACTTCTTTTTCAAAGCACTGTCGCCCTCCCCAGCCTCTACACTTAAATCACCCCAGACCTCCTTTTACGTGGCCAAAGACCACATATTCAGCCAAGCAATGGGCACCTCCTGTGAGTCTCTGCAGTACCCCAGCCTCTGCCAGGCTCAGGAGAAGGAGAGAAATTCCTTCCCCCTCTGACCCTCTGGTATAAGAGAGTGGTGGTGGGGAAGAAGCCACAGCCAGTTTTGACTTTATTTATTTATTTATTATTTATTTATTTATTAACATCTTTATTGGAGCATAATTGCTTTACAATGCTGTGTTAGTTGCTGCTGTATAACGAAGTGAATCAGCTATACATATACATATATCCCCATTTCCCCTCCCTCTTGCATCTCCCTCCCACTCTCCCTATTCCACCCCTCTAGGTGGTCACAAAGCACCAAGCTGATCTCCCTGTGCTATGCAGCTGCTTCCCACTAGATATCTATTCTACATTTGGTGGTGTATATATGTCAGTGCCACTCTCTCACTTCGTCCCAGCTTACCCTTCCCCCTTCCTGTGTCCTCAGGTCCACTCTCTACATCTGCGTTTTTATTCCTGTCCTGCCCCTAGGTTCTTCAGAACCCTTTTTTTTTTTTTTTAGATTCCATATAGATGTGTTAGCATACAGTATTTGTTTTTCTCTTTCTGACTCACTTCACTCTGTATGACAGACACTAGGTTCATCCACCTCACTACAAATAACTCAATTTCGTTTCTTTTTATGGCTGAGTAATATTCCATTGTATATATGTACTATATCTTCTTTATCCATTAGTCTGTTGATGGACACTTAGGTTGCTTCCATGTCCTGGCTATTGTAAATAGTGTTGCAGTGAACATTTTGGTACATGACTCTTTTTGAATTATGGTTTTCTCAGGGTATATGCCCAGTAGTGGGATTGCTGGGTCATATGGTAGTTCTATTTGTAGTTTTTTAAGGAACCTCCATACTGTTCTCCATAGTGGCTGTATCAATTTACATTCCCACCGACAGTGCAAGAGGGTTCCCTTTTCTCCCCACCCTCTCCAGCATTTATTATTTCTAGATTTTTTGATGGTGGCCATTCTGACCAGTATGAGGTGATACCTTATTGTAGTTTCGATTTGCATTTCTCTGATGATTAGTGATGTTCTGCATCCTTTCATTAGTTTGTTAGCAATCTGTATATCTTCTTTAGAGAAATGTCTATTTAGGTCTTCTGCTTATTTTTGGATTGGGTTGTTTGTTTTTTGATATTGAGCTGCATGAGCTGCTTGTATATTTTGGAGATTAATCCCTTACCAGTTGCTTTGTTTACAAATATTTTCTCTCATTCTGTGGGCTATTTCTTCATCTGTTTATGGTTTCCTTTGCTGTGCAAAAGCTTTTAAGTTTCATTAGGTCCCATTTGTTTATTTTTGTTTTTATTTCCATTTCTCTAGGAGGTGGGTCAAAAAGGATCTTGCTGTGACGTATG